TATTTTAAGACCTTGAGTGTTGGTCCAGTGGGGTCTCGAACCCTCAACCTCCCGCACAACAGTCCAGTGCTCTATCCATAAATATATAAAATAACAACATTCATTTCAAAGCTATGAGGTTATGCCTACAGTGCAATCCAATAGCAATAAAGTAACATTATCCCACGCACAATTCAGTGTGTAGATGTTACTTTCTGTATCAAGCTTTTAATGTTTACAGTACATCTTAGAACTAGTGTTACTGAGTACACATAGACCATTTTTTTTTCTGAAGACCTACAACACTCTAAGATTTTCCTACCTAACTGGATCATGTGAATGTAATTCAATTGGTCTAGGAGTTCCACCAGGTCCTAAAAGGTAAACACGGGCAAAATGTCACATATCAGGAAGCTGTGGTTCAAACATTTTATGTTATTGTGTACAGACAATAATTATTATTGTACAGACAACCCCACTAGTATAAATTCTTTTTTCTCTGCAAGAATCCAAGCTGACATCTTCATGGTACTTTATCCCCTTAAAGTGTTGATTTTTTTTTTTTTTAAATATGCCACCTGCTCTGAGCCCCATGATTTTTCCTGTTATTTCTTTCGTTTCGTAATTGCAGTGTAATCTTATCAACATTGTAAGTAAAAACTTAATAAAGAAGAAGTCAATAATCTGTGGCATGTTTGTCTTTAAATTTTTCCACCCTCAGTCTCAAAATCTGCCATTCTGTTCGTGATTCAATCTATTTAAAAAGATCCTCAAAATCAGTTGACTTAGTCAAACAGTACAAGAAAACATGCCTCCTCTTGTGAGTGCATCAATGAAGCATCTCACCACAGCAGTTCTTCTGGCTGTGCCATATTCATCTAAAGTATACCTATGGAAAGTAAGGAATAGGCAAATTAATGACAACTGGGAAGATGCATATTCCCACAATCAGAATGTTTTGGGAAAAACAAAGAAATAATATTAAGAAATGAACATTCAAAGCAGTACAGTGTTCATCTCCTACATGTAGCACATACAGGTAACAGTTTGTGGAAATTGATTAAATTAAAGTTTAACAGGAAGGGGAGGAGGGGTAGTTGGGGGATTGCACAGTGATTCTTTACCCACCAGGGAGGGAGTGGGGGTTGCAAACTTATTCTTCACCCACCAGGGAGGGCAAGTGGGGTGGCAGAGTGATTCTTTACCCACCAGCAAAAAATTGAAAAAAAAAAGGAGCCTTTTTCTTTCTCATTGCATAATCTTGTTCATATGCAATAGGTCTGAGAAGCAAAAAAAATTAACGGAAATAATATTGTATTTACTAACTTAAACAACACAGGCCTGTCCTGAAGAGCAACCATTGCTCTGCTTAGCGTGTTAGATATGTCGGGAAGGTCTCCTGTTAAGCCTCTGCATTCATCTGCAAGTTGAAGAAATGTAACCTGGTGAGAAACTGTTCTTCTTTGACTGATTTAAATCACAGCTTCTATGGTGTAGCAATTGTGAGACAGAAAGAGGTGTACTTGAACGAGGCATCCATGTCATTAAAGAAATGCAAGCCTTGTCATGTTCAAATTTCAGGAGCTCTGAGTTTTAACATGAAACCAAGTCAATATAATGCGTGTACAAGTGTAGTTTCACCCATGTGAACTTTGGGGATCCAAGAAGGTTTGCAAGGGAATTACTATGAAGGGTGCTTTTGCCAATTTGCTTTCCTCCTTTTTTTTTCCATCCATCCCTCTCAATTTTTGTGTAGGTATTCATATCAAACCACAGTATATTGGTTTTGTGTTGACAGGTACATGTACTTGGAGAAAGGCTGTGGCTAAGTTGTCATGGTGACTTCCTCGCAGTTAAAGAAGCTGCTGCCTTCCACTGTTACTAAATTTTGCAGCCTACAGTACCTTCCAATACTATTATAAAATTTGAACCCTTTAACCCCTTCGAGTGACCGGCATTTTGGAAGATTAAAGGAAATGATCACCAAGAAGCTCTTGATTGTTGAACAAATTCTCTTCATCAGCACATTAGGAAACACATAGAGAACAGTATGGAGAATTTGTATACTGATGATAGGGTGTTAAGATTAGGAATAGAGGGAAAGGGAAAGGCAGAGACCACATGTTGAAGCCTGGGATCATCATCATAATTGATATGATGCCTACATTCACATGGACCGTCATTCTACCTTGACTCCACCTGTAAAGCTTCTCGTAGCTTGACTCCAGATGTAATGCCATGGCTTCCATGATCTGCAAACTGGAAAACATAGGTTATTTTTTATCAAAAGTCTTTCCAACTCTGCTGATATTACAAAAAGTTACATAGGTGTCTCCAGCATAAAGGATCAGTTATTAAAGATAGTTACCCAGCTGTTTGTTGTTTTGTCCTCAACAGAAGTTTGCAGTCATTGTGAATTTCTTTAACCCGTGAGAGTGCTTCGAAAAATGTCTGGGAAAAAAAAAACAAACAAATTTTGAACAATTACAATTTCACATAAACATTTAGTAACTTCTATAATTTACACAAACTACACAAGATGATGATGTTAAAGACCTCAGAAATAGGACCATTCCTTGTTCCTTTAAGAGCTTGCACCTCATCTGGTTTTAACTGAAATCTTGAAATGAATGCATCTGCAACTGTTTCTTTCATCTGTATTCTCTGACTGAGAAATTTAGAGAGCAAAATGATATTTTAAATTTTAAACACCCCATCAAATCATAAATCAATACTACTTGCCAAATTTTAATACTTAGACGTGTACATGTTCAGTAAAACTTTTGTGAATAATTATGGATCACAATTGCTGGAATACAGTATTATAACATAACCAAAGTAAAGCGCGCACTCTGATTAGTCAATTGAGCGTCCCCCATTTGCCCATGGGTGTATGCTGCTGACGTGAGCAAAGGGAAAGACTATTTTTCCGCACGCACTTGTTTTTTTCTGGTCACGTAAGATTTGTTAAATAAAAGGGAACTCTTTAGCTACAATGTGTTAATGTTATGTTATAAAACAAATGGTAAACACCTCAGCAAACACTATTGAGTTATGTATGCACTTGGAAGGTTTGCTAAGCACTCAAGAAGCTAGAGTCGCTCTCGGCTATCGCCTCAAGCGACTCTTACTCTTCTTTCGTGCTTAGCAACCTCCCGCATGCATCCATAACTCAATAGTGTACGCTGTGGTGTTTACCATTTGTTAAAGAGTCTATTTCAGGTCCTATAAATTGACTTTATGTATAGATTTGGAGCATCACTACTTCTCCCACTTCTCTTCCCTTGAAATATACCCCAACTGATGCAGCACCATAGTTTCTTTATGAACTTACCCCATCTATCCAAGGCTTACCTTTCAGCTTGAAGTGTGGTAGTCTTGCTTATCAAGTCAGAGGTTTGGTCTCTTGCAGACTATGTAAAAAAGTTGTTTAGAATGAATCTGTGCATGTAACAGAACCTGTACTGTAGGTTGAGATCTAAATGGACCTTCAATAACTGTTCAACTCTGTCCATATTCTCATGGTAATTCCATATTAAATTTGGCTTGCCTAAAGTTGTTAATTTCAGGGAAAATAGGCTGCAATTTAGAGGTGAGTTACTCAGGCTGCCAGCTCTTATTGAAACCCCTGATCAAGCATGGCAAAAAATATAACAAGATTTCTGTCAATTTTATAAATGCATGTTTCTGTTAATGTTTTCAATAATTGTGCCTACGATATACCAGCTAACATTTACCATGATTATAAAAAGAACGCTCATTAAATCTAGCAAGCTCTGCTGACTGATCTCTGTATCCTGACCAAAATCCACTGAGACTGCCCTTCAAATGTAAACTCACCAGGCTAATGCTTATAAGACATTTAAACAACACTATTTAATCTCCACATATACTTTTGAAATTCAAAACCACTGTGTAGACACAAAGTTTAAGTGTTGATTATCAGTTTATGGTTTAGTGGCTCTGAAAGTGAATATATGGCACACAAATTGTTCAAGATTATTGTTCTATGGATTGGAGATCTTTTCATGTTATTTGCAAGCAAATTTTTGCAATCCATCGCGGCCAAAATTTCTGTTGAGAGCCACTCAAACCTTTTAACTCCCAAGATCTGATTATTAATTCTCCTCTCTAGTTGCCACACATTTCCTTGTAAATTTGTTATGAGAGTTTGGTGTTAGATCAGGATAACAACTTCTATCTGACAAGTTTGATTATTCGAAAAACCTATTTGTTGGATAATGTACGTATGTAATAGGGAGAAGTTAAATGTTAATAACTTCTGGGAGTTTAAGGGCTAGGGGAGAATTACCATTCAGATCTTGGCCATGGGAGTTAGAGATTTACATGTAGGTCTGAAGTGCAACCTACCTTAAGTCTGCTCGTCATTTCTGTACAACATCTACTCATTTGTTCAATGTCCGCATGCACAGCATCCAATTGCTGCAAAGAAAACAGTTTTATTTACCCACAGAGTAAATAATTAAATTGACTCCTTGATTACTTAATGATGACAGCCTCAAAATGATGTAAAACTTTCTGGAAATCTGCCTATAGCTGTCGCCTTGAGGCTTATACATAATTTCTTACGTGCCATAGTTCAGACTTTCTTTGCAATTGGCATCACATAAAATATATAAAATATTTGCTTGACTTACGACCTCATATATAGGTCTTTAACTTAGTTGTATGCATGAATCATCGAGTTTGTTTTCAAAGTTCACATTAGTTATGTTTTTTATTTCGTAAAAAATCAATTTCACTTCTCTAAATTAACAATATTGTAATCTCCTTGTAATTTGTATTTCCAACCTCCTTGATACATTCTAATATTGTCTGTAACCTCCCGACTCGATTAGTTTTGCTACATTCGGGTGGGTATTTTTTTCACTTTTGTATTCCTTTCTTTCTTTCTTAAATAATAACATTTCTAGTTTTAAAATGGAATAAAGTGTTATTTACAGTTATTTATTTACAGTCTACCTGTTTGACGTCTCTGAATGCACCTTCGAAGCTCTCATTAATTGCTAAGCTTCTTTTTTCAATATCTCCACGCAAATTCCGCCGAGAACGCAAACTGTTGTCCACAAAAAAAGTGGACAGGGCATTCAAGGCCTCCACCATTTCCTGCAGGATGAAAACAGATTTTGCCACATTACCACAGTTTTCCTCAAGGCAGAGAACACAAATGGGTATAGCAGTACTCATACCTTATCATTGTCCAATCTAGTCTCTAAGATCTTATTTAATTTCCTTGATAGCGGATTGTTTGATTGGGATTCGCTCCCTTCCGCCATTTTGAAATTCTACGTGGCTTTACATTTGCGCATACTTCTTCCAGAATACCGCTGGTCGACTGCTGGCGGTTTCTCCCCTTTCTTCCGTTCTTGACCCAAAGATATCCCGATTGAGCTCGTAGAATGCTGGAAAGTTGCTCTCTGGAAGGCCAAAAAGTTGCTAACAAATAGCCAAAAATCAAAATAGGTTGCTTTATAATTTCAGAATTTGCTTCCTAATTTCTTGAAATGTTTATATAAACATTAATTAGAAGCTTTATTTTTCGTTTTTCAAAATAATACGTTTAGCTTTAAGGTGGCCCAATAGATAGTTGCTCGCAAACAAGGGCGGCTTCTAACCATCCATCTCTGTACATGGAAGTAAATAAACAAAGACGTCAATTTTTTTGCCCGTCGTTTTAGCCGGTTATCCGTTTTTACTAAATAATAGGCCTGCGAGACATTTAATAAGAAATTTACATAAATCGAAGTTTTTTAAGAAATCGTTGATACGTGCTCTAAACCTACAACTTGCAAAACAATTGCTCAGAAAGAGAAAAACTGCTCGAGGTTGCTAGAACCACAAAACTTTGCTCAAAAGTTACCGAACACAATTGGGACAGGCCTATCCCCAGTCTCCTCGAAGTTCTAAATCAGGAAGAAAAATTCTAAGAGGAAGGTGAGGGTAAATTACGCGTGTGTTATATGCAAAATCATTTCAACTGAATTTGTAATACGATCTTTTCTGTTCAAAATTCAAAGAATATTTCGAATTAAATTATCACACAGGCAACGAGTTGCTAGATGGCGTTTAGGCTTGCAAGGAGCCCGCCTTGCTGAGACGCAAACTCGTCGGGTTCCGATATAAGGAAAACGGGGCTAGCGCAGCAAGTCTGTGAGTGAGCGGAGGGGAGTCTAAATATAATGTGAAAATCTTCCCGGGAAAAGTCTAGGTACGAGGCCGAGTGTGGACCAACCACAGTGGGGTTCGGTTATTTTGCGAACTTTCATTGGCCTTTCTATTTTGAAATTGTGACAAATTCCTCAACAGACCTTCAATTAAGTCTCCTCAAATTTTTTAGAATTATTAATAAGAACTTTAAGATTAATCTGTAATAGAAGGGGTGGGGGTGGGGGCCTGGGGGGAGTGACTGAGCTGAACACTCCTAAATCCTTCCTTCACACGATAACCGAAGACTTCCCTGGTGCACTTTAAATAAGTTTAAATCTCTTCCCTTATTTACCCTTCGCACCGCCCGACCATCTTAATCTACTAATGTATTTAATCTCTAAGTCATCATTTGCGTTGGCTCTGCTGGTGATTCAGGATATTAAATCTCTCAAGTCTATCTAGCCCAGGAAAAGTGCCAATAACCCATCCAATATGAGCTCCTAGGTATTAAAAATCTCGGCCAGATGATATATCGACAGCAAAGTATCTCCAACCGATTCCTCTGCCGCATCTCTCCCAATGATCTGAACGCAGTAGTTGCTTACATTGATAATCGATTGTGACCCGTGAATACTTTTCTATGTAAAAAAGGGATTATTTTAATTCCAAGCTTTAAATGTTTACAGCAAAAGGGGCAGATTCGATAAAATTTAATTAATTTCTGTCTTCTAAGCACGCTTCCTTTTTGCAGGATGCTTTGTTGACCCTGTGACCTTTGGGAGGACACCCCGCACATTTCCTTGCTGTATCAGACTTTGCAATTCTTCTACTGTCAACGGTTTTGCCTCGTTACCATGCCATGTCTGATCACTGTCATCTTCAATCGGGGGAGGTACAATTGAAATGTTGCCATGTGTAGGCTGAGGACCCGCTCCTTGTAACCCATCAATGGATATGTCTCCGGCCGACTCGTCCAGTGCCCTCTTGATATTATCCAGAGCTTTGTTTTGCAATAGTTCGTTGCATTTCTGCTCGATAATTCCAAGGTATTGCATGATGTTGTTGTCATCTACAGACGCGCCTACTCCGAGCAATTCCGTGATTGAGGAGCGATCGCACTTGATTGAGTTAAAAACGCTTTCGACCTTTGGCTTTAAGAGATTGAGCTGTCTTCTGCTTGTTTTATACTCCTTTTTCACCAGTGTCAACTCATCAGTGACTTCGGCCATTTTCTTCTCAAGCTCGTTCAAAATTTCCTTCCTACGCATATCACTCGCGACACCTCCTTTCTTGATGAGTTCGATCTCATCCTTCAAGCATTTTACATCATTTTTCAGGTTCTCGATTTCAGTGTTCATGTTGTTGACGTAATTAAACAGTGCGAAGTTTCGATCTTCGTTCTCAATAAAAGACTCCACTAGAGTGTCTGTATCTTCTATACCAGTAGCTTCCTTGATCTTATCGAAAATCTCCTCAAACTTTCTGGTTTCTTGTTGCAATCCCTTTTGCTGAGCTTCAAATTTCTTTACTGCACGAGACATCAGCTCTTTCTCTAGAATGGACGCACGATCTCTGGCTTTAGTGGTCATGAAATTCCGAAGTTTCCGATCGTGCTCAAGAATGCGCATGACGTCTTTGAATTCTGCATTGTGAACCGCCATTTCCCGGTCAGCGCGCTCGCGAAGCGACGCCATCCTGTGTTGTGCTTCGTCTCTTGCGGTGAAATGAGTCGTTGCCACTTCGGAGATACGATCTACTTCCCTATTTCCTTCATCCAGTTCAACCTGGAGACGTTTGTGAAGATCAAGAAACTTTGCTTTCTGTCCTTCGATGTCGTTGATGTGTTCCCTGAGGTTCAAATTGCCCGTCAAAGCAATGCTAAATTTCTTGGTCATCTCATCCAGCCTGTTCTCTAGTATTCGGGTCAGCTTCATATTGGCAACGTGTTTCGTCTGGTTCATATCTTTACTTCCTCCCATCTTCTTGCATTGTTGGTTGATCTTTTCTCTCATGGCAGCTACTTTTTCATCCACACCCACAATTGCCTCTTTCTCCTTCTTGAGTTCCTCCTGAACTTGCGCTTCTCGTTCTAAGAGCTCCGCAAGCTTTTTGATATTTTCTTGATCAAATCTCTCAATTTGTCTACTTCTCGCAATGTGACTCATTGTTTCTAATTCTTTGTTGTCTTTGACTAGTGCTTCGATAGCCATCTTCTGCTTGCGCACGGTATTTTCAGTCTCATCGGTGTACGTTCTTCTATCGTTGCGCAGACAACGATACTGTCGTTGCAGATTGGACAACTCCATTTGCGCTTCCAGCTGTGCTTCGAGTGGGTCAACCTTGTCTTCTTCCTTTAGGCTTGACATCTTTTCTCCGACCCTGAAAATAGACAATCCTAACTTCTTAAATTGTAGCAATGTTTGCTGAACATTTTTTTATTAATGTTGCGAAGTAACAGCAATACTGCCTTTGTGACGCATTCGTTCGACCGCGCGCTCTGATATTCTTGCGTCAGTCTGTGCGTGATATCTGATTTTCATTTCCGGTCGCTTCATTTAGAAGCAAGGTGCGACAGCCAGGGATGTAAAGGAAGAAAAACCCAACATTTGCTGAGTATCGTAGTATAGCTCCTCAAAAGATTTTTTTCATTCTAGAAGTGCGAAGGGTGCTCATTGCATATGGACCGCACATTATGACGCGACAAAAACACACCAAAACGTTCTCTTCAGCTCGGCTGATGATCTGACTAACAGGTCAGATATGACTGACAGAGATCCTCAATGGGAATACGGATTTTAGTTGTTGTCCTACACTCATAAAAGTTGTTTTTTACTTTTTCATCGCGCTAAAACTCTGTAAGTACACACAGAAGCTTATAACACCAAACTAGATCATAAGCTTCTGATACACATCGCTCCATTATCTGTAAAACGAAGGCTTTCCGTACTTGTCTACTGATAACAATATCTTGGCTCTTTTTTTCACGCTACCCTTTGCACATAACTGCGGATAAATGGTAGGGGCCAAAAACAAAAATTCGTATTGTTCGTTTACTTTCTTGGTACCCAAACGAAGCTACTTCAGAGTACTACCTTCTTAGAAACGTATGAGAGTTGTCCTTAAAGGCAAAGAAATATCTCTGCCGTGGAAATTGTTCTCGTAGCCAATAAAAGTTACCCAAGTCACAGTGATAACACTATTTTTTCTATAGTAAGCAATCAGTCAGAGCCATGCATTATGAAGTTAGTTTTGTTTTTCGTCGTGACATATGGCTAGCGCCTAGGTAAATGAAGTCAGATCTAGGCAAGACACGCCTATGGGACCAAAAAAAAACTTTCTGAGGATCACTGCCGACAAAGTATGTCTCACGCCTTTAAAGTTCAACAGAATAAAAGCGGGTTACTGATGACTTTTTAGGGGAAAAATACCCATATCGCGCGCCTTGCTCTGCGATCAGTTAATTACAAGTTAAATGTGACGGGTTATTCACAAGTCTGAGTGGTTCCCTTGGCAGAACCCCTAGAATTAAAAAAAAATGGTGAAATTTTTCAACAAAGCAGCCAAAGCAATCTCGTTTATTGATTGATAAATTACCACTGAAAACTCAGGGTGAAGCTTCTTATAAGCTTCTGCAAAATCTAACGCAGAGGCGCTTTTCGTCTAATCAAGTTTTCATTGGATTCAAGCACAAGTCTGCAAACACTTTAAATTAATTTTTTTGAAAAGTAGGGCTTAATGATACCCTACCTAAAGAGCGTCTTTTATTTCCGTAAAGAGTTGTCATAAATATTTAAGATGTCTAAATAACTGATCATATGAGGTAACCAAAACTGATGCAAATCAATCGGGAGCTAAGTTAACCGACTTCTCAGCTCATTGAATAATAAAAAAAAGCCACCGGTCGATCCGGCATCATGAACAAGTTTTTTCCGGAGACACAGACGGATCCGATTCCTTCCGACCGTGTAACGATTTGTACTGCATCATCAAAACTAGGAAAGGATCACTTCTCGCTCCAGTCTTAAACTCCTCCATGGTAAGCTTTCCATCCTTGTTCAAGTCAAACTTTTCAAAGATCCTTGCCGTACGCTGTTCTGGTGTTTCTTTTCTTCCCAGTCGACTGTCTGCGTACATTTTATACACAGATCTGATGATGTCTTCCATTTCGCGCTTCGTTACATACCCATCCCCATCAACATCGTAGATCTTGAAGGCCCACTCCAATTTCTCTTCCAGATTTCCTCGCGAAGTTATTGAAAGTGAGTACATGAACTCTTTAAAATCAATGAACCCACTTTTGTCGGAATCAAATGTGCGGAAAACATGACTGGCAAATTCGGACGCGTCCCCTTCGAAAAAGTCTGAATACATGTCCTGAAAATCCGCGGAGGATACCAACCCATCAGGACAACTCTTCATAAAACCTTTGTACCATTCTTCAATTTCTCCTTGTGTAAAATGAGTACATTCCATCAAATCGGCCAATTCTTCTGTCTTCAGTTTGGTCTTCCTGTTGCCCATGTCAAATGGAATTCTGGCGTTGGCCGCTTGTTTCTGTTTTGTTGTGTTCTTGCTTCTTGTTGCGTCCCTACCGCTGCCTTTGCGGTTGCTGTTGTCGCTGCTTTTGCTTTTGAAAGGTATCAAGGTATTCACCAATATAACAGATCTCGGTAATATTAACCAGTTGTCTTGGCTGGTTTTGTCAAAAATCAGATTCGTAATCGTCTGAAGATATAGTCGCCTAAAACGAAAACGAAATTAACGAATCAATCGACACCACACTAAATCAAGTTGCTAAAATCCTAAAACGAGCACGACCAAGAGAAAATGTGCTGATGCCGTTTGTCACTCAGTTCGGATTTTTAACGCGTATTTTGTTATCCTACATCATGTGTTTATACCCTAATTCTGATCAATATCTTTTGTGAATTTGTTATAGTAAAAGCACGTACGTAAGTAAGAAGTGAATAATTTAATATGATGTCTAGGATGTCTTACCTTAAAATATTCAAACAAATTAGAGTCTGCCGTAGAAAAGTTATTTATTCAATGTTTTCACCAAGAGAAAATCACGATAAGACATTAACATTTTCTCTGTTTTTCCCTCGTCCACGGACAACAAACACCTCAGTTTGAATCAAATGAAAAGCCGTTACTGCGTAGATGACCGCAACAGTTTATTGTGTACTGAAAAAACTTGGAAAAAAAAATCGGGGGTATAATCTGAGTTTTATCTGATCTAAGCAGACCAAGTAACCGTGCAGTCTCAGAACTAAACTACAGTTGCCATAAACGATTAGGATAAAACATCGGTACTGATTGGTTAGAAATCACCTTGGCTTGATAAACAGCTGTCAATGAATGTGGACAAATTTTAATATTTTCCAGTGGGCAGTTTTTCGACTCAGTGCCCTCAGAGCTCGTCCTCGTTCGCTCATCAACAGTGTTTCAGCGATCGGACTTTAGTGCATGTTATCGTGACGTTATTTTATGAAGATTGGTAAAACCTAAGCCAATAAGAAAGAACGATCCAAATTTCCTTGAAGAGCTGTATAGATTAAGGAAATTAATTATTGTAACGAACGTAGTCGAGCTTTTGAAAAACTTTGTTAAAAATTAATTACTTTGTACACTCAAGTTTCTCAAACGGAATAGTAAGACGAAACTTATTCACTATTTACTAACGTAGACAAGAGCAAAAAATTGTCGTTGAACAGAGAAATAACAACAAGCTTGTTGCTGTTTGAAGCACATCTCAGACAGTTTGAAGTTTTCGTGATCAATCTGTACACGTTTGGGTTTCAAATTAAAAACAGAAATATCGCAATTGATAGTACGTTTATCTCTTTCGATCTTCTGAGGTCACTCTTTTGGCAAACACTCGGTCAAGGTAGAGTTTATTAGCCAAACAGTGCTAACATTATAGTTTAACAGATACTTGAAGGAACTAACAGATCACGGCCAGTCGTGCGATTCAAAACCACTTTACATAGCAAATAACGACTGCTGTTGTTCAAAACCAGCAGGTTTCTTAACTGTAGAGAAAATAGCTCAAGGAAGGTCTTGTGGATCAATCATTTGCCGTGCGAGAAGATTCGGCGGGATTTCAATTCGGTCAGTGGTAATACTTATTTGGGCTTAAGTACCTGAACTGATTCAATCATGGACGGAATTCGGCCATTCTAGCTTGAGATAATTGCGAAAATAAAAACGGGGATCGTGACAGACAGATGGTGGTGAGATATTGTTTCGAGATCCCTCTCATTTTTGTACAGTTTCTTTGACAAAGTGTACTTCGAGTTTATCGTTAACCGAAACTGCGTAAATCTGTTTCAAAATGGAAAATTTGCATGGTTGAAAGCACGATTTATGTAACTGAATTTTACATGTTTTTCTTTCTTAGCCCATATATTCTAAACATGTACTCGTATTTGTAATCTTGATTTAGAAAACCGAATACAAAACCTGCTTAATCCACCTGGGAGCCGCGTCGAGTTTAAACCGATTGAAGTTCCAAAGATAAACCAATTGCGGTATTTTCGAGTTAAAGACACATAAATCTATTCCTCTCACCTGGTGATGTGTTATGTCTCGATGAAAAGTTTGTATTCACCACGAAACAACCGAGAGGTTCAAATGCGCGTTAGTTTTCACACCAGATGGAATCAACGCATTTCTCCTGATCGCTCGACACATTTTTAGCCCTATTGTAATATGTCACGGAAACGCCAATTGGTTCTCTTTACCATTGTTTGCAAAAATACTATTTTATCCTTTTACGCGCCTGTGGTTCTGGAAACAATTCTTTGGCTGATAGGCAAATACTTTAATCGTTTCTGTTCGTGTTCATAATTTAAGTCCCAATGTGAGGCTGATTTCATGTTACATATTTACTGCTAGAATGTTGGCTTGTTTGCCTCCTGTGATAGATGGACTGTTGGAGTTTGAATTTAAAGCTGTGATTTTCTACAGGCAATCCCTGCAGTTACCTTATAGCAGCAATGATCATTGTTAGTTCCCTCTGGCGTTTCGATCGATTAATCTTAAATTCAACTTCGCCTCCAAAAATTTGATGGAAAGCCTAGCTCACTGGTAGTTAAACTTTCTGTTTTTCAAGAAATTCAGTGGGAATCGCGTATATCATGAAATTTGCTCTCAATTCAGTTCATACTTTGGATCTCACTTTTTTTTTATTTTGCATCTGTAACCTATCAACATGGTAAATTTTGTTAAATTGAGATGTAGAAACTTTCTAGTTCTCTCAAACTATTTAAACATTAATGCGTTAGCGTGCTCCGAGGCTAAATGACTCATTAGTTTGTCCTGAAATCCGTCCAACTACTCTTCTTGAATCATTTAAATATGTTGTAATTGAAATTTGACAGCAACCTAAGTGAATTTTTGGTCTTGGCTTGCATTTGTGAACT